CAGGGAGGGTAACAGCTGACGCGTTGCGCCGACTGCTCCGAAATTACTATTATAATTTATAATAAATTAACGGTACATTTTGGGCTATAAGTTCCTAACTCCCCCCGATAGGAAATTTTATCAGCTACAAAGAAATATTTTTTTTTTCCATCTGGTGAGGTTAACTAAAGATATCTAGGATTGAAGACGGCCTGTCGCCAATTCCTAATTGTTTATAACAAATTGTGAATCACCCCGGGAAATTTGAGCATATACTTTTTAAAACATTAATAATTACACTTTTAGCTATCGATTGGTGTAATTTGGTGCCCTTTGGTTAATTTCGATATAAACGACATTTTCAGAGCTAGTTTGACTGGACTAATAATCAATGAAAATCGAAGCTCTCGTCCTCCGCTGGTATTTTTACTAATAACTATAGTAGTTTCTGCTTTTTCGTTAAGTAAAGTGTAAGAGGCGTGAGAGTATAAACCATAGTTTTAAATCTTAAAATAGATTACTACTTCACACAGTAAAAATTCGTAGGATTTTAGCAATTTCTCGTCGTTCAATAGTAGCAATTCGTAGAAGAAATAGAGCGTTTTCTATCATTCTGGAACATTGTTTTTTCGTCCGTGCATTTTATACTGTTTCGTTCGTTAAAAATTACTATGTTAAATCGTAAAACAGAACTTTTACGCAGCAAACATTCAAATAGCAAAATAAATTGAATTTCAAAGTTTTTCCGGTATGGTCCTTCATTACTACGTTCACATAGTAATTTGTAATTACATATTCTCTCCGTGCAGTTACGTGAATTTTTCCAATTTGAATTGTTGTATGGATCTGAATATTAGTATTTAATCGAATATTCCAGAAATTAACTGAAAATTTAATGTAAATTAGACGTTGTTAAAAGTTTCACGATGGTGTACTTGAAATTTCATGGGTAATTTTCTGTGTCCTCGTAAACCGATTACGTTCCGCCGGTCGGTACGTGTTAAGGAGAATCGTTTTTGATACGGAGGTATAAATTTTACTTGCTCAAAAAATATTGCTTCCAATGATGAAGAAACAATACATTGGGAAGTCTTTTTCCTATGACATAAGATAAATTTCATAAAATGGTAAAAATAATGTCAAATAAGATTAAGAGAAACTAAAACCGTTCTCGTTGATCATTAATTTCCCTCTCACTCAT